GGTAGAATAGGTCTTCAGCAACCCATGCTTGCCAAAAAAGGCGACTATGCTTGTTGTAAGAGGCAACGAACAGGATTGGGTGGTCAGGCTCGCTGACTAAGTTGATGCATGTCATCGTATCCCAATTGCGTGGATTGATGCTCATGAGGTCAATCACTCGTTTGTCAGGTCCAGACTCGATTATGTACAGACCACCGTCATATAGCTGGAATATTGCTGAGTGCGGCGTTAAACCACAAACAAACAAGGATGGAAGAACTTTGGAAACACCAAGGTTTTCTATAACAAAGATGTCATAGCACACCAATCACCCCAGATATGGTCATAGACTGCCATAGAAATGGGCTTTTCAAACCAAGTACAATTAAAAAAAATTATCATAAATCGTGCAGCATTTGAAAACAATCATCGACCATTAGAAGAACTAGATGTGTCATTAGTCTGTTAATGTTGCCATTGACGGAGACTAATGCTGCAGTTTTGCTTTGATTGTTGAGGCAGTCCATCAAAATAATCAAAGACATCATATTCTGTGGGTGTTTTTGCAAATTGAGCAGCTGCATGGTTCAGCCTCATTATTTTTGGTTTGTTTGTTGTTTAATGCTGCACTCAGCAATATTCCAGCCACATGACCACAGCATGTAAATAATTGAGTCTGGACCAGACAATCCAGTGACTGACATGACAACTGGGATACAATGACAGGCATCAACCAAGTCAGTTCCTGGCCACCCATCCCATTGTGAGCCTCTCACCCTCATAGTTTATACAGCTGCTGAGATCTGAAATCTAAAGCTGTGGCATGGTTGGTGTGGGTGTTATCATTCACCGTTTCACCATTGATTATTGATAAAAAGTGTTTATTCAAACCAATCACTCATTGACTATGTCCAGTCACTATTATTTTGAATAATAGCTGGAAATTTTATCTCGAAATCATGTATTTCAATAAAGTTACTATACATCAAACATATTCAAGGGACTAGGAATAGGAACAGTTTGGGCCAAGTTTCAGGATTGCACATATTTTACATATCAGACAAGTCTCTGCCTAGATTAAGCCCCTCTACCCTCAGAAAAGCTGTGACACTGATACGCTGGTTCTTATCAAGATTATATTTGTGGACATGTACTACAACAACAAAGTGACAAGTCCAGCTCCCCAGTTAGCCAACATTGTGCCTTGAACAAACTCATCACAGCTCCCTAATTTTACAACTCTGACAGTATCCCCTCACTCTCCTAAATGAGATCCTTAAAAAGAAAGCTAGTTATTCAGATGAAATATTTGAACAAAATGATCAGACTTGATCAGCACCCTTTCCACTCACAACCACCATCGACATATCTCCACCATTTCAATCCCTTCACTTCACATCACACCCGCCCCCCCAACACACACACACCAAGACATGTAACCTGGACATGTTGAAGGCTAAACTTACACACGTCTCTAAGGCAATAATAATTAGTTTAAATCATAAGTTCTAGGTCACATAAATAATAAGAAGTACAGCATTTGAGCAAGGCGAGTTGAAGGCATGCTGTGTGAGTCCCCAGTTCTTGTTGTGAATATGTTCACTGCAGTGTGACGAGATTACACAGGCTAACCCCCCACCTCTGAAAGCGAGAGGTGCCTCTGCTGTAACATACCTGACCCTGGGTCACCTTGTTCATACATGGCGGCTCCCCTCTCACTGAGTGCTCCCTGACCCGTAGTGTTATACTGTCACGCAGACATAAGGCCTAATGCACCGGAGCATATCAAAAGCTTGTAAAGTGAAGGACACAGTGTTAAGTGAGTTCCTATAGTGGAAATACAGCGTATCTTCTATAGATCAGATAGGGGGACACAGTGTTAAGTGAGTTCCTATAGTGGCAAAACAGCGTATCTTCTATAGATCAGATAGGGGGACACAGTGTTAAAGGGCAAGTTCACATGGAAATGAACCTATTTTTCTTGTACTTTTTCCACATTAAAAGTGTTAACATAGAAGTGTCATAGACAAAAATATAAAAATATCACAATTAATTGACATATTTTTCGCATTAAAACTATTTACATTTTTCACATTTACCAAGTGTTCTATTTCCACAACAAAAACACCATGGCTTATGCCCCTTGCAATATGACGTCATTGGTGCCAATTGATAAACATTATGACGTCATCATGCTTTGTTAGAGCCGCTTCACGTGGTGTAGGTCCAGGTGTGTGATTCTAGCGTCTCAGATGCCAGCCAGCATAGTATTATGCTGAGTCACCACTGCGCCGGAGTGTGTCGTAGGCCATGTTGTTTTACCGCAAATTGGTACTTGATATCTTTTGCGTTGAGAATAGACAGGGACCCAGTTGAATTGGCACCAATTACGTCATAATCTAAGGGGGATAACTCAGGCCTGTTTAGCTCGAAAAACGAAGGCCTCATAACGGCATATCATTTTCACACTATTGTGAGCTTCCTACGTTCACTGTGAAAAAAATGAGTGTATATTTTCAAACACAGATACTAATTAATTCTAAAATTGCGTTTTGTTTAGAAAAAGAAAGAAAGTGATTTTTGCGTGTACACTTCCCCTTTAAGTGAGTTCCTATAGTGGCAATACAGCGTATCTTCTATAGATCAGATAGGGGGACACAGTGTTAAGTGAGTTCCTATAGTGGCAATTCAGCATTGTTCAGTGTATCTTCTATAGATCAGATAGGGGGACACAGTGTTAAGTGAGTTCCTATAGTGGCAATACAGTGTATCTTCTTCTGTAGATCAGATAGGGGGACACAGTGTTAAGTGAGTTCTTACAGTGGCAATACAGTGTATCTTCTATAGATCAGATAGGGGGACACAGTGTTAAGTGAGTTCCTATAGTGGCAATACAGTGTATCTTCTTCTATAGATCAGATAGGGGGACACAGTGTTAAGTGAGTTCCTATAGTGGCAATACAGTGTATCTTCTTCTGTAGATCAGATAGGGGGACACAGTGTTAAGTGAGTTCTTATAGTGGCAATACAGTGTATCTTCTTCTGTAGATCAGATAGGGGACACAGTGTTAAGTGAGTTCTTATAGTGGCAATACAGTGTATCTTCTTCTGTAGATCAGATAGGGGGACACAGTGTTAAGTGAGTTCTTACAGTGGCAATACAGTGTATCTTCTATAGATCAGATAGGGGGACACAGTGTTAAGTGAGTTCCTATAGTGGCAATACAGTGTATCTTCTTCTATAGATCAGATAGGGGGACACAGTGTTAAGTGAGTTCCTATAGTGGCAATACAGTGTATCTTCTTCTGTAGATCAGATAGGGGGACACAGTGTTAAGTGAGTTCTTATAGTGGCAATACAGTGTATCTTCTTCTGTAGATCAGATAGGGGACACAGTGTTAAGTGAGTTCTTATAGTGGCAATACAGTGTATCTTCTTCTGTAGATCAGATAGGGGGACACAGTGTTAAGTGAGTTCTTATAGTGGCAATACAGTGTATCTTCTTCTATAGATCAGATAGGGGGACACAGTGTTAAGTGAGTTCCTATAGTGGCAATACAGTGTATCTTCTTCTATAGATCAGATAGGGGGACACAGTGTTAAGTGAGTTCTTATAGTGGCAATACAGTGTATCTTCTTCTGTAGATCAGACAGGGGGACACAGTGTTAAGTGAGTTCTTATAGTGGCAATACAGTGTATCTTCTTCTATAGATCAGATAGGGGGACACAGTGTTAAGTGAGTTCTTATAGTGGCAATACAGTGTATCTTCTTCTGTAGATCAGATAGGGGGACACAGTGTTAAGTGAGTTCTTATAGTGGCAATACAGTGTATCTTCTTCTATAGATCAGATAGGGAGATATTGTTAAGTGAGTTCTTATAGTGGCAATACAGTGTATCTTCTTCTATAGATCAGATAGGGGACACAGTGTTAAGTGAGTTCCTATAGTGGCAATACAGTGTATCTTCTTCTATAGATCAGATAGGGAGATATTGTTAAGTGAGTTCTTATAGTGGCAATACAGTGTATCTTCTTCTATAGATCAGATAGGGAGATATTGTTAAGTGAGTTCTTACAGTGGCAATACAGTGTATCTTCTTCTATAGATCAGATAGGGGACACAGTGTTAAGTGAGTTCTTATAGTGGCAATACAGTGTATCTTCTATAGATCAGATAGGGGGACACAGTGTTAAGTGAGTTCTTACAGTGGCAATACAGTGTATCTTCTTCTATAGATCAGATAGGGGACACAGTGTTAAGTGAGTTCTTACAGTGGCAATACAGTGTATCTTCTATAGATCAGATAGGGGGACACAGTGTTAAGTGAGTTCTTATAGTGGCAATACAGTGTATCTTCTATAGATCAGATAGGGGACACAGTGTTAAGTGAGTTCTTATAGTGGCAATACAGTGTATCTTCTTCTATAGATCAGATAGGGAGATATTGTTAAGTGAGTTCTTATAGTGGCAATACAGTGTATCTTCTTCTGTAGATCAGATAGGGGATATAGTACATACTTCAGACAGAACACAGAGGACCACGCTTGTCCCAAGGAAGCAGGGAGTTGACATTTATTCATATCAGTCACCAGCCTGAGGGGATATCTTCAAACCAGGCAGCTAACAGTAAAAAAGGATTTAATGTTCTCTTCTTTAAAAATAATTGCAATCTTATACAGAAATCTTTTCTTAAAATAAGTTTTTCAGACAGTCAGTCTGTGAAATCAATGAAGGTTTCGTCATGGTTGGTTTCATACCATAAATATGATGAACCTGAAAAACTTCTCAGGGTCAATGACCCATGTGAAACACTCTGCAGAGTTCCTATTTTTGTGGTCTACTATTTTCTACCATATATCATATGTAGTATATATGTCTTAAAGTTAAAACACTTTTCATTTCACAGGAAAAAAACTAAAATTTCAAAATAATCCATAAAAAAATCAGTAGAACAGATCATCAGGCATCCAGCCCTGGACATAGGTCCCACGTCAGAGCTGTGGTCCCCTTGACCAAACCCTGACTGACCACTGTGGTCCCCCTGACTGACCGCTGTGGTCCCCCTGATTGACCACTGTGGTCCCCTTGACCCAACCCTGATTGACCGCTGTGGTCCCCCTGACTGACCGCTGTGGTCCCCCTGACTGACTACTGTGGTCCCCTTGACCAAACCCTGACTGACCACTGTGGTCCCCTTGACCCAACCCTGACTGACCGCTGTGGTCCCCCTGACTGACCGCTGTGGTCCCCCTGACTGACCGCTGTGGTCCCCCTGATTGACCACTGTGGTCCCCTTGACCCAACCCTGATTGGGCGCTGTGGTCCCCCTGACTGACCGCTGTGGTCCCCCTGACTGACTACTGTGGTCCCCTTGACCAAACCCTGACTGACCACTGTGGTCCCCTTGACCCAACCCTGACTGACTGCTGTGGTCCCCCTGACTGACCGCTGTGGTCCCCCTGACTGACCGCTGTGGTCCCCCTGACTGACCACTGTGGTCCCCTTGACCAAACCCTGACTGACCACTGTGGTCCCCTTGACCCAACCCTGACTGACCGCTGTGGTCCCCTTGACCAAACCCTGACTGACCGCTGTGGTCCCCTTGACCCAACCCTGACTGACCGCTGTGGTCCCCTTGACCCAACCCTGACTGACCACTGTGGTCCCCTTGACCAAACCCTGACTGACCACTGTGGTCCCCTTGACCCAACCCTGACTGACCGCTGTGGTCCCCTTGACCAAACCCTGACTGACCACTGTGGTCCCCTTGATCAAACCCCCTGACTGACCACTGTGGTCCCCTTGATCAAACCCCCTGACTGACCACTATGGTCCCCTTGACCAAACCCTGACTGACCGCTGTGGTCCCCCTTGACCCAACCCTGACTGACCACTGTGGTCCCCTTGACCACTGCAGCATGGCAAGGTAATATCATTCAGTTTGTTCAACCACAGAAGTAAGTAGCCAGGCAAAAACATCCGTCTTGGCACTGCCTCAAATACACATTACACTAAATATAACTCAGCAATTCCAAATCTTATTGATACATCGACTTCAGTCTGACAGGTCATACCAAGTGAACAGTTCCGACATTTGGCAACCTTGTTCCAAATACAGACTCAATGACCTTTCTGTCAGTATTATGGCTGATAGATCAGGAAAAAAATCTTTTCAAATCAAGCTAAAAGACTGTGTTTATTTTCAGCCTATCTTTGAGATTCCCAGAAAAAATGAACCTACATACCTGACAATGACGTTTACAAGTGATAGCTGTGTTTTACGGAAGGAGTATCTGGCTGCAGGTGCCCACAAGGCAATTATGTTTTCCTCACAGTCACAGGGAGAATCCTGTGTATGTATATTCTCCGTGGAGTCTTCTGAAGCTAGCTATCATGCACTGACTGGCACTTGGTAAGTGTTTTCACAAGTTTGGAAATCAAGTCAATAATTTATCTTGTCTACACGGTGTGGCCATTTTTCTATGGCATTTAGAAAACCATTCAGGGCTCGATATAAGGAATTTGATTTAACCTGCATCATGTGCTCATTGAAATGAAAACCAAGTTGCACCAAACAAAACCAGGTTGCACCCTGGTCTAAAAATATTTATCACACTTGAAACATATGATGGTCTGCAGCCAGTGTCACATAAATTCCTGACACATTGCTGTGAAACGTAACAGGAACATGTGCACATAATCCTAAATAACCTACAGTTTGATGACATCAAGTCCAAGGAAGTATGATACATTCCACAAAACAGAGATTAGTCATGTAGTTTGGTGTAAAACTTCATTATCATACCTCCATGTCAGAATGATGAGATCTGATTGGTCAACGTGATGTTGATAAAAAACTGTGTAACCCGCATTGGAGGGTAGTCAATTTCTCAGCGTGGGAATAAATCTCTTACCGGATATGAACGCAGATAAGCCAACACCATAGATAAGCAGAGGTATTAACTTGACCATTGAAATATGAAAGAACATGATATGACCCATAGATAAGCCGAACCAGGAAGTGAAAGGCAAAGACACACAATGAAGTCAATAACATAAGATGAAAAGCGTTGTAATGATATTGAAAAAGTCATAATTTCTGACAAAGATTTAACAAAACAGTCATCCACTCCCCTAATATAGGAAGCTTTTTTTATGTCTTTTTTTAATCTCCTAATGATCGTTGCAATCAACAACGAAGCGTCATTTTGTGAATATACATAGAACCTGTGAGAAAATGTCTCAGCTAGAGCGACGACTCGCACTTTGAATACAGCATCGTAAGCATGGCGTTTTCATTTCAAACTCATGATGAGATGTGATGTGTGTGATGTGTGTGATGTGTGTGTGTGATGTGTGTGTGTGTGTGTGTTTGTACTAGTCCGGACTGATGCCGATTTATAGTGCTAGCACACTGAGATACCATGCCGCAGTTTAACATGAATACCCCACTCAGACACAGTATACTGACTCCGAGCCGACCAGTCCTTGTTTTAGCCCCTTAATGCAAAGCGCCAGACAGGGTAACAACAAGTACCATCTTTTGGTATGATGCAGTCGGGGATCGAACCCCGGACCTTCCGATCTACCACTAGACCACGGAGGCGGTCTCACAAATTTGAAATTTCTTTACATTCGCTTGGTACATGTAGATAGAACATGTTGAAGTATTAGGTTGTAATATTCAATAATAATACTTGGTTGTTCATGTTGTTCTGGTGCATGTTTTATATGGCAAAATCGATCCCTGCCACGGACAGCTGTTCAGATATGTGAAGCTGACATTTGTGGGTTCAATAAATGTTCATTTATTCAGTTCTTGTCTGCTCACATCATGGGATAGCTTATATGGATTCTCAGAGTTGTTAGAGGTGACAAATAGACCCATCTGACTCAGTGAGAAATCAACTCCATTAAATCCTAAAAAAGAAGTTGAATGAACGTGGGTGGGTATTTGGGAGGATGGGCAGGGTGAGTGGGTGGGTCAGTGGATGAGTAGGCTGGGTGGGTAGGGTGGATGAGTATTTTGTTGGGTAGGGTGGGTGTTTGTTTGGGTGGGTAATGTGGGTGTTTGTATTCCATAAAGAATGCATTCTAGTGTATGAAAGAGTGGACCTGTGAAGATCCGGGATAAAATAGGTCTTCAGCAACCCTTGCTTGAAGTAAAAGGCGACTATGCTTGTCGTAAGAGGCGACTGATGGGATCAGGTGGTCAGGTTCACTGTCTTGGTTGATGCATGTCATCGATCTCAAATGCGTGGATCAATGCTCATGATGTCAATCACTGGATTGTCTGGTCCTGACTCGATTATTTACGGACCGCCATCATATAGTTGGAATATTGCTGAGTGCAGCGTTAAACAACAGACAAAACAAACCATTGCAGTAAAAGGTGACTATGCTTGTCGTAAGAGGCCACTGATGGGATCTGGGCCCCGTTCCACAAACGAACGTAGCACTACAACTGTCGTAAGCTAATGTTAAAGTATGGGAGTTACGATCACCTTAGCGCTACGATCGCTTTGTGGAACGGGGCCCAGGTGGTCAGGCCAACACAATCACACAAATTTCAGCAAGGACTTCGACAAAGTATTTCTGGTTGATTATCCCATTCCACTTGCAGACGGACCAGCCATTCCTCAGGTTTGTGGTCACTACCTTTATGCCGTAAATCCTTGAATAAACACCAGCTTCAAGTGGCACACAATAAGAAATGAACATCTGCCTCATCTGCTTCATTCATCCTGTGGCAAATTCAGACATCTTTGTTTGTTTTTCCTCCATCACTTTATTTGTTGTTCAAGTCGCCACACTCAGCAGCCGTCCATCTATGTGACGGCAGCATGCAAATAACCATGTCTGGACCAGGTAATCATCAGGTGATCGATATTATGTTTGTTTGTTTGTTGCTTAACACCACACTCAGCAATATTCCAGCTATATAATGGCGGTCTGTAAATAATCGAATCTGGACCGGAAAATCCAGCGATTGACATCACAGGCATCAATCCGCGCAATTGGGATACGATGACATGCATCAACCAAGTCAGCAAGCCTGACCACCCAATCCTGTTAGTCACCTCTTAAGAAAAGCATTGCTGCCATTTACAGCAAGCATGGTTTGCTGAAGACCTATTCTACCCTGGATCTTAAAGGGATGATCAATATTATGAGCAACGATCCACATCAACCTGGAGTCACCAGGGGGGTTCGTCTGATGTGTGTAAGTGAACGTTATTTTATGTCACACTTCTTCTCATGATGACTAGACAGTGACCTCTGATACTTATTTTAGATGGTTATTGTGACAAAAGTGATGTTATATGCTGGGGCATGTCAATAATGGCATCTCAGTTTCACAAGTGTTGGACATAATGAACAACGTCCCCAACTGACAGAGGACGATGATGTGCTCTTAATCAAGGCAGCGACCACCCACTCCATTTATGACCACCACAGGTTGCTTGGGGCATGTCGAACCTGGAATCTCAATGGGGATGACAAGCATCAGTTGCTGGGGACTCTCTCAAACCAAAAATCCCAACAGAGATGACAAGCATACATTTCTGGGGACACATTCTAATCCAGAATCTCCATGGGTATGACAAGCATAGGTTGCTGGGGACTCATTCTAACCCAGAATCTCCAATGGAGAATAACTTACAACACAACCCATGTTCTGGTTATCAAGGGTTAAAAAACCCATAAGTATCAAAAACAAGGTGCCAGAATGGGCCATTCTATAGACACTCACCTTGAACAAATGTCTGTCTCTTAAAAAACAACAGCAATGCCTGTCACTATAAGAAAGATTGTGTGGGTCTCCACTGGGAGTGTCAGCACAGAACTATTGTTGTGGCAGTTGCCGATCAGTGTTGAAGTCCTCCAGGACCGTAGCCATACTAACATACACCTGTCAGTACAAGGCTAATGGGGTTTGTGTGGACCAGTGAAATATAGCATGGTGTGTTTATAATCCTGCCTGGCTACAAGGATGTTATGACACTAGTTCATTTACAGTTTGTACAATAGACATGAGTAGAGGGTATTGAATTTATTATAATGTACCAAGTTCACCTCAATAAGGGCACTGGGAGATAATGAAATCGACAGAGGGGGCACTTCTTAAAACCACAAGTTAAATTTGTTGTCAGAGATCATTGTCATGCCATGTTAGACTGTGCTGGGTGCTTGGTCTAAAGGTTGGTCAGAGGGCACATATTGGTGTGTGTGTGTGTGTGTGTGTGTGTGTGTGTGTGTGTGTGTGTGTGTGTGTGTGTGTGTGTGTGTGTGTGTGTGTGAGTGAGTGAGTGAGTGAGTGAGTGAGTGAGTGAGTGAGTGAGTGAGTGAGTGAGTGAGTGAGTGAGTGAGTGATCACTTACCCATAGCCCCACCCCCACATCTAACCCTGATCACTTGCCCACAGCCCCACCCCCACATCTAACCCTGATCACTTGCCCACAGCCCCACCCCCACATCTAACCCTGATCACTTACCCCCAGCTTCTTACCGTGTCCCACACAGCACACCTGACTCCAACTGCTGATACACCTGCAGTTCCAGCTGACGCCAACTGAATGTGTAAAATGCCTCAAAGGGCTCTGTTGTTATCGGAATAGGAACAATGCCATGTGAATCCAGCCATGACTACGTCTTGCTCAATACTTCCTCTACACAATTTTACCATGGGAAATTCACAATTTCTTTTTATAAATAGTTGAGATTTATTACAATGTTATCACAACCATGGAAACACTGAGGTGAATATTACAACTGACTGTTAATATGAAGTGTTATCGCTGGGGATTTCATTAATGTTAGTGTACAGGCTTTGTGAAGTAAATGCTTTCAGTGCAATATATCATGTATATTACCAATCTGTCCACTCATACCCTTGCTCTTTTCAGTACAAACCAATCAATGACAATTCACTGATTTTTTTGTGTTGTAAATAACAGGATATAAAGGCTATAAAATCTATCAGTAGGATCTGTTTCCATGTGCAATCTGATCCAACTTTATTTAATCAGAACTTTTACTCCTATTACAACGTTTAGTACCAGATACCTGTCACAGTGAACATCTGAGGACAAG